TTGTCCGAGTTCATTCGTTTCGCGAACGACCTCCTATCAAGTTATGTTCTCCTAATACAAAGTTGAAAAACTTACAAAAATAAGTAATCATAAAAAATACATAAAAGGTAAGTAGTGGTAAGTATTTTTAGAATTAAGAAAACTGTTGAAAAAATATATTACCACAAAAGAAATAGCTGTAAAAGGTAAGTAAATAAAAAATTAATAAAGGTAGGTATAGGTAAGTATATTATAACATTTTGGAAACTACGAAAATTTTTGAAAATAAACATTGAGAAATGTAAATAAACATTGAAAAATGTAAATAAACAAACCGCGAATGTAAATAAACATTGAAAATGTAAATAAACATTCCAAAGTTTGTAAACAAACCGAAATTTCAACTCCCGGGCCCAGCATTCTTTAAATTTTCGAAAATTTTTGTAAATAAACATTGGAAAATGTAAATAAACAAACCGAGAATGTAAATAAACATTGAAAATGGAAATAAACATTCCAAAGTTTGTAAACAAACCGAAATTTCAACTCCCGGGCCCAGCATTCTTTAAATTTTCGAAAATTTTTGTAAATAAACATTGGAAAATGTAAATAAACAAACCGAGAATGTAAATAAACATTGAAAATGGAAATAAACATTCCAAAGTTTGTAAACAAACCGAAATTTCAACTCCCGGGCCCAGCATTCTTTAAATTTTCGAAAATTTTTGTAAATAAACATTGGAAAATGTAAATAAACAAACCGAGAATGTAAATAAACATTGAAAATGGAAATAAACATTCCAAAGTTTGTAAACAAACCGAAATTTCAACTCCCGGGCCCAGCATTCTTTAAATTTTCGAAAATTTTTGTAAATAAACATTGGAAAATGTAAATAAACAAACCGAGAATGTAAATAAACATTGAAAATGGAAATAAACATTCCAAAGTTTGTAAACAAACCGAAATTTCAACTCCCGGGCCCAGCATTCTTTAAATTTTCGAAAATTTTTGTAAATAAACATTGGAAAATGTAAATAAACAAACCGAGAATGTAAATAAACAAACCCNNNNGAATGTAAATAAACATTGAAAATGTAAATAAACACTCCAATGTTTGTATACAAACCGAAATTTCAACTCTCAGGCCCATCAAATTTTCGAAAATTTTTGTAATAAATACTTACCTTTTTGTACTTACCTTTTTGTACTTACCTTTTTCCTTATTTATTTTTTGAGTATATTGATGCCTTTTTTAAGCATTTTTTTAACAATTTTCTTAAATCTATAGGAGACAAGGATATGTAGAATATTTTTTTTATGATTAGGATTGAAAGGTTTAT